TAATTCAAGTTAAATAAGCAATGTCTTAATCAAACTTTACTCAATTTTAAAGCATGTATAAAGGAAATATTTAGAATAAAGCCAATATATAAACTTCCTTTCCGTATAGACGTATTTACGTCAAATTCTCCGGAAGCGTCGTTCCACTGCCAATTTTTTTTCCAATATGGCATCTGAACATAACAAACAAGAAGGAACGTTGTTCGTGAGTCTCTACGTCGTACATCTGATTTCCAATCAGGTGTGTTTGTGCACACGCAGAGAACACATGTGCTCCAAACCGAAGCACAATCTGCTCTATTGAAACGTCGGAGGACGTGTCTGCAGAGGGAAATAACCACTGGGGGCCACGTGACTCACATGGGCTCGGTGACTCTGACGGGCATGTTGGACAGGGTGATCATGTCGTCTCGACGACGGGCGATGCTGATCTCGAATCTGGCCTTCATGGCGGGCTCGTCGAAGCAAGGAAAAGCTTCCCTGGCGTGCGTGGGTTCGAACTGCGTCGGAGCCATCCATCTGCAACGATAAGAGGGATTTGCTCGTAAGAGCTGAGCTCACGAGCTATTACCTCGTATTTTTGAACTGCGAATTTACATTTCCTGAAGGTAAGATTAACAACGCAGGGTTTATAGGATTATAAATCGTGATTATATCAGAATATATTACGAGGCGCGTCCTCAAAGTAAGTTTCCCACTCGTCCCACAGCTAGCAAACCTTATATTGCGCGAAGCGACTGTGCGTACGTGATAGAGCAATGACGTAGCATGGCGCATGCACTAACGGCACTTCCCGCGTTCTCACAGTAGCATCGTTGCAGCTGTTGAAGATGGAGGTTCTTATTCCAGCTCCCGCCGACTGTGAAGTGCGGTCAGTGATAACGCTAGGCCGCACACGGCTCGACGGACAGCAAGTCTCCTGCAGAAGTTCAGCTGGGAGGTGTTTAATCATCCACCCTACAGCCCGGACCTCGCTCCCAGTGATTTCCATCTTTTCCTACACCTCAAGAAATTCCTGTCCGGTCAGCGTCAGCGTCAGCGTTTTGAGAATGACAGAGAGGCGGAGATGGCTGTCACACAGTGGTTCCAATCCCAGGCGGCAGACTTCTACGACCCAGGTATTCAAAAGTTGGTCCCACGGTATGACAAATGTCTCGATTCCGGTGGCGAATATGTTGAAAAATAGCTGGACACTTGCTGTATCTGTTGCAATAAATATTTCCATGAAATTGTGTTTTGTTTCTGTAAACGGCCCCAGGGAAACTTACTTTGAGGACGCGCCTCGTAACTCTGGTTTCTGCTCAATTTTATGTATGACTAATTTTGAATGAATTTTCATTAATTTTTATTCTCCGGTAGTAATCAGTCTGCCGCTTAACCTCGACATATGACTTAGAGCTCAGAGCGCGCATTACAAATCTCGTCCGCGGCCTCCGAATTGTCCATTAATTAATCATTAGCCTTTACAGTTCACTACATTTCACACATTCTGGTACAAACATCGAAGCTTTTCTTTGCTAAACTCCGTCAACGGTGACCTGAGTCCCCTTTCTTTGCTCGCACAATGCCCGTTCTGTATTCAGATGCGTTGCCACACGTTTGAGGCGTGATTCCTTCCACAGAATGTACGATGCTGTTTCTCAAATCCTGCAAACAAGTGACTCGTTTGCGGTCCACCTGGTCCTTTGTGTACCCCCCGAAGGAAGAAATCCATGGGCGTTAAATCGGGAGATCTTGCAGATCATACAAAGGGCCCACCTTCTCCAATCCATCTTGGAGGAAACGTATGGGGAAGAAACTTTCAGAGTCACTGTTTCACGTGGTGAAAACTGTACTCTCCTAGCTCTGTTTGTTTTCTCAATAAAGACGTTTAAAATGAGTACACTCT